CAGGCCAGCAGAGGTCACATAGGGAATTCCAGTCCAGCCTAGGCTACAGTGCAAAGTCCCATTATAAACAAAGAAACAAACACCTTGATCACAATTACATTGTGACGAATACAAACCAGCCATGATAGAGACAGACAGGGTTGGGTGAAAATCTTAAAAACGAGGCTGCAAACTGGGAAAGTATTAAAATAATTAGGGCTCAATGCCTTGGATTCTGATCTAAGCAAATAGGGCCTCTTGGGAGTTACTGGTCAACAACTGGCTTAAGAAAATGAAACTAAAATTTAATCAGAAGCCAAAAACTAGCCTATAATTAGGCGCATCACCAATCAGAAGCAAGTACTGGACCAGAATCCACCAATAAACCTCTAGCTAGGGGCCTCAGAGATCAGAAGCTGACAACTAACTTCTAACTAGGCACTTTCTAATTTACACACATACATACACACTTTATTTTTTAATTTAGTTCAAGGTCTCATGGATCCCAGGCTGGCTTTGACCTCCCAAGTAACTGAGAATGGCCTTGAACTTGATCCCCGCCTCCACTTAAAGAGTGTATCACCATGCCTGCTTTATTCTGGGGGTTAAACCCAGGGTTTCATGTGCATTAGGCAGACAGTCTAGGAACCAAACTACACCCCCAGCCCTCAATTTCCTTTGTCTTGCTTCAGACAACACGTTGTGAAAGTTTCTCCCTTGTGCCCCTTGTGAAGTCCTGGACTGAAACACTTGTGCATGGTGTTGTCTGATTCATGAATGGACTGAAACAGTTCTGAACAGTGCTCATGAATGGCTGCATTCTTAGAGCTAAAAACAAAACAAAAAATAGCAATAGGGACATTGATTCAACCGTTTAAGCTCTTGTAATAGAAAGAAGCTAGGCCACATTTGTGGCATTTCTGTCTGTTTCCTTTAAAAATCTGTTTTATTGTGTGTTTGTTTTCATTTTGCTGAGGGTATGGGTAACAACTGCCAAATCATGGAGCAAGAGATTGGGTTGAAAACAGGGAAGGCCCTCTAAGGACAAGAGGAAGCAAGAGTGAGAGGTGGAAGTCTGAATGAATTCTAGAAGGTTCTTCCTGTCCTGTTCCATCCACAGGGCCACATGTATTCATGATCAGAATTGAAGGGCTGTGACTGCATTAATGTTAATGAAGAAGCCACACTGTCATCACCAACACACGGCTGTGTTACTGCTTACTTCCCAAGGACACCACCACCACCACCACCACCACCACCAGGGCTATCTACCTTAAACTTTGATCACTCTCTCCTTGAAATATTTGTCAAAGATGTGTAAATGCTATTCCATGTTTCTGAATACTGAGAAATTGAATTTCAGGTCAAAATAAAGTAGCAGTCTTCTCATGGGAAATATATATTGTCACAGTTTTTGAAAGCCTAAAATTTCCACAAGGAACGAGCTCAGATCCTCAATACTGTTTCTAGAATGCATTTATTTTCTGTGTATGTGCCTGCATGAGTTTTATGTGCACTGCATGCATGCAGGTACCCTTTGAGCCCATAAGAAGGTATAAGATCCCTTGGGATGGGAGTTGTAGGCAGCTGTAAGTGCTGGGAATGGAACCCTGCTTCTATGCAAGACCAGCAAGTGTTCTTCACTGAGCCATCTCTCCAATTATCTCCCCTGCCCTACAGCAATACTGTTTTCAAAACCACTAGGGATCCATTGAGTCAGGGATCTTACAGAACAAGGATGGAAAAGGACAGAAAGAACCCTCTAGAATTCATTCAAATTTCCACCTCTTACTTTTACTTCCTCTTGTCCTTAGAGGGCCTTCCCTGTTTTCAACCCAATCTCCTGCTCTATGATCTGGCAGGTATTACCTATACCCTCAGCAAAGCAGGGATCATGTTTGATCCCCTATACCACACAGAATTTTACACCCTTCTTCTGAAGGGTTTGGTTTGGCACTATTCTCCATGATTCTAGTTTAGAAGTTTTGTAGTACTGTCATATTGTCATATTTTCAAGTTTGGTTTGGCTTGGTTTATTTGCAATACTGAGGATCAAACCCTGGGCTTTATGGGTACCAAGTCATTCTGCCACTAAGCTACAGCTCTACCTTTTAGCTACAAATTTAAACTTCATTCTCCTTGATAAAGGAAAAGCCATCATAAAAACGTAAAAATAAAAAGAATAAACCTTAGTTAGCCTCCTTTTCAATATAATAATGCACAGAGCAATTTGACAAGATCAGACGGTGTCCTGTACTAACAGCCTGGAAAAATGGCCCCACAAGGATAAAGAGGAGGGTGCATTACCTCATGGGAGGGGATGAATCAAGGCCCCAACCAAATGAAACTGAAAATTGCTAAATGAAGCTCTGAGTGGAGAAAATGAAAAATCAATGGAGGCCCAGAAGAGAAAGGCACATTTTTCATCTTCATGGGGCTTGAGGAGGCAGTGGAAATCCACTTTCAATTAATGTGTCTTGTGGCATTCAGCCAGGCTGGATAGGAACAGGGTGCATATTTTAATCAATTTTTTCTATTAAGTTTGAAGTAATATATAACAATAGAACTATGCTAGTCAAAAGGCTCAGTTGAAATGGGCTTCTGAGCTAAGATAATCTTATTTGGTTTGATTTCTACCTTAGATTGATGAGAACTCAACTTCTCAGAATAGAACAGCATACGGATCCTCTTGGGTACCTAAGAATGACTTAGATGTCAGGGAAGAATGAATACATTGGCTTCCCAATGCTGATGCAACCACTGTGAAGGAAGGAAGACATGTACGGGGTGTCAGGCCTTGGGTGTCTTAGTTTGTGATGCTCATAAACTAAGTGGTTATCACCCACAGCAAGGAACCAAGGTTCAAGATACTGGCAAGAGCTGAGATCTCAGTTGCAGCCTCTCTAATGCTGAGACCCAGGCTCTTTTTTTTTTTTTTTTTTTAAATCCACATCCTGCTATTCTGGGATTCATCTGCTACCATCCTCCTGAGGACCATACTTTAGCACTTTAAGCATTGTGATAGTGGCCTGGGAAAAATGGTGGGCTGGAAAAAAAATGGTGTTGTGGGATTGCCCTTACAG